GCGTTGCATGAAAACGAACGCCACAGTTTAATTCAGCGTACTCCAACCGACTTTTTTCTAATCCCTTGAAAAATCATTTTTTTCAGGAGACGGGTGCACTTAAAATGGAAAAGAAACCGGAGGATCCGAGATAGAATTGGTCTTCAGTAACCCATGCTTGTCGTAAGAGGCGACTGACGGGATCGGGTGGTCAGGCTCGCTTACTTGGTTGACACATGTCATCGGTTCCCAATTGCATAGATCGATGTTCATGCTATTGATCACTGGATTGTCTGGTGGAAACTATTTTTTACAGACCGCCGCCATATAGCTGGAATGTCGCTGTGTGTGGCGTTAAACAACAAACAAATATAATATAAAAGCTATACACTGGGCTAAAGAAAGTTCACATTTGAAAATTTCGATAAATAATATCTACACTTAACTGGACTGAAAGCAGTCACCGAAACACTGCAAGCTAAGGTCTATTTTAAAGTATTTTAGTGTGAAATATCAAGTCTTGACACGAAGAAGTGACTGATAATATCACCTCGTTTGCGGGTATCTGCGCATGTGTGTGTACAGTTGTTTGTGTGTGCGTGTACGGATATGTGTGCGTATATCCGTTTTCCGGAATTTAAATTCATGACAATATATTTCTGACTGTCACATGATGACACACACCAGATTTCTGCGTAGACAATGTGTTCTGACAGTCACGTGATGACAGATTCCAGATGACTGTGTAGACAATGTGTTCTGACAGTCACGTGATGACAGATTCCAGATGACTGTGTAGACAATGTGTTCTGACAGTCACGTGATGACAGATTCCAGATGACTGTGTAGACAATGTATTCTGACAGTCACGTGATGACAGATTCCAGATGACTGTGTAGACAATGTGTTCTGACAGTCACGTGATGACAGATTCCAGATGACTGTGTAGACAATGTGTTCTGACAGTCACGTGATGACAGATTCCAGATGACTGTGTAGACAATGTGTTCTGACAGTCACGTGATGACAGATTCCAGATGACATGTGTAGACAATGTGTTCTGACAGTCACGTGATGACAGATTCCAGATGACTGTGTAGACAATGTGTTCTGACAGTCACGTGATGACAGATTCCAGATGACTGTGTAGACAATGTGTTCTGACAGTCACGTGATGACAGATTCCAGATGACTGTGTAGACAATGTGTTCTGACAGTCACGTGATGTCAGATTCCAGATGACTGTGTAGACAATGTATTCTGACAGTCACGTGATGACAGATTCCAGATGACTGTGAAGACAATGTGTTCTGACAGTCACGTGATGACAGATTCCAGATGACTGTGTAGACAATGTATTCTGACAGTCACGTGACGACAGATTCCAGATGACTGTGTAGACAATGTATTCTGACAGTCACGTGATGACAGATTCCAGATGACAGTGTAGACAATGTATTCTGACAGTCACGTGATGACAGATTCCAGATGACTGTGTAGACAATGTGTTCTGACAGTCACGTGATGACAGATTCCAGATGACTGTGTAGACAATGTGTTCTGACAGTCACGTGACGACAGATTCCAGATGACTGTGTAGACAATGTATTCTGACAGTCACGTGATGACAAATTCCAGATGACTGTGTAGACAATGTGTTCTGACAGTCACGTGATGGCAGATTCCAGATGACTGTGTAGACAATGTGTTCTGACAGTCACGTGACGACAGATTCCAGATGACTGTGTAGACAATGTGTTCTGACAGTCACGTGATGACAGATTCCAGATGACTGTGTAGACAATGTATTCTGACAGTCACGTGATGACAGATTCCAGATGACTGTGTAGACGATGTATTCTGACAGTCACGTGGTGACAGATTCCAGATGACTGTGTAGACAATGTATTCTGACAGTCACGTGATGACAGATTCCAGATGACGGCGTAGACAATGTGTTCTGACAGTCACGTGACGACAGATTCCAGATGACTGTGTAGACAATGTATTCTAACAGTCACGTGACGACAGATTCCAGATGACAGTGTAGACAATGTGTTCTGACAGTCACGTGCTGACAGATTCCAGATGACTGTGTAGACAATTTTTTATGACAGTCACGTGATGACAGATTCCAGATGACAGTGCAGAGAATGTGTTCTGACAGTCACGTGATGACAGATTCCAGATGACTGTGTAGACAATGTATTCTGACAGTCACGTGATGACAGATTCCAGATGACTGTGTAGACAATGTATTCTGACAGTCACGTGATGACAGATTCCAGATGACTGTGTAGACAATGTATTCTCATAGTCACGTGATGACCGATTCCAGATGACTGTGTAGACAATGTATTCTGACAGTCACGTGGTGACAGATTCCAGATGACTGTGTAGACAATGTGTTCTGACAGTCACGTGATGACAGATTCCAGATGACAGTGTAGACAATGTATTCTGACAGTCACGTGATGACAGATTCCAGATGACTGTGTAGACACTTTTTTATGACAGTCACGTGATGACAGATTCCAGATGACTGTGTAGAGAATGTGTTCTGACTGTCACGTGATGACAGATTCCAGATGACTGTGTAGACAATGTATTCTGACAGTCACGTGACGACAGTTTCCAGATGACTGTGTAGACGATGTATTCTGACAGTCACGTGATGACAGATTGCAGATGACAGTGTAGAGAATGTGTTCTGACAGTCACGTGACGACAGATTCCAGATGACAGTGTAGACAATGTATTCTGACAGTCACGTGACGACAGATTCCAGATGACAGTGTAGACAATGTATTCTGACAGTCACGTGACGACAGATTCCAGATGACAGTGTAGACAATGTGTTCTGACAGTCACGTGGTGACAGATTCCAGATGACTGTGTAGACAATGTATTCTCATAGTCACGTGATGACAGATTCCAGATGACTGTGTAGACAATGTATTCTGACAGTCACGTGGTGACAGATTCCAAATGACTGTGTAGACAATGTGTTCTGACAGTCACGTGATGACAGATTCCAGATGACTGTGTAGACAATGTATTCTGACAGTCACGTGGTGACAGATTCCAGATGACAGTGTAGACAATGTGTTCTGACAGTCACGTGATGACAGATTCCAGATGACTGTGTAGACAATGTGTTCTGACAGTCACGTGATGACAGATTCCAGATGACTGTGTAGACAATGTGTTCTGACAGTCACGTGATGACAGATTCCAGATGACTGTGTAGACAATGTGTTCTGACAGTCACGTGATGACAGATTCCAGATGACTGTGTAGACAATGTATTCTGACAGTCACGTGGTGACAGATTCCAGATGACTGTGTAGACAATGTGTTCTGACAGTCACGTGACGACAGATTCCAGATGACTGTGAAGACGATGTATTCTCATAGTCACGTGATAACTGCCACGTGAAGGTGGAACCCAGCTGACGACTATGCATTTGATGTTGAGAGAGTGTTCTCGAAGTCTGTTGAATTACGACAATTGTAAGGTGTTTGTATGCGCCTGAGCAAAGATTTGACATGACCTAGTATTTGAATAACCCTCTCTGACTGGGTAACGTTTTATGTTCAGAGAATGACACCCCTAGCTTCCGGCCCCGTTGACTTCTTTTAAAGTAAAAAAATATCGGGCCAGGTTCACGTGCAAGGGATGCACGTGTTGTATCAGAATATATGCATGTATATTGGTTAATGAATTTTATGGGGCGTCTCGTTTCATGTGAGTGTGCGTGATGGAGGGTGTGGGGGTAGGGTTGGGGGTGGAGGAGGCGCCAACTCCTATTGCATTCGCATTTACCTCCAGCATTCCGCTCTTAATGATCTTAACACACGCGACTCTATGTATCCTTACATATATACCCGTACATATACCCGTACATACCCGGACATATGCAATTGCTCATGTCAGAAGGCAGAGAATGTAATTACAATAGGCCCCGGCGTCTCTCAACTTCTCACTCTTGGGATCCCGGCAATTTCTTTTACTTCACCTGTAGCTTTTGTATAAATAAGGGACGTTAAACTGCAAGGGGGAATTAATACAAGGTACTATTGTCCCACTCACGTTGTAGCATATACGTCCAGGCATAAACGCCATATACATTTTGTATTTAGTATTGTATACCGGGACCACGTGCCCAGACACGACCTGGCCAGTTAGTCAGTCCACTCTGGGGTATATTAAACAATTCTCGCACCTCCATATGCACGGCTGTAATTTATGAATATAAATGATATTTAAAAGGTTGATGTGAAAGAGTTCAAGTTCATAGTCACATCGGGCAGTATTTTAGCCATATCGTCACTGCGAGAGAGAGAGAGAGAGAGAGAGAGAGAGAGAGAGAGAGAGAGAGAGAGAGAGAGAGAGAGAGAGAGAGAGAGAGAGAGAGAGAGAGAGAGAGAGAGAGAGAGAGAGAGAGAGTTTTCAGAGAGTAATAGGCCTGTGTGTAATATGTTTAGTATTTCGTGTTATACGCGCAAATATTTGAAATACATTTGTGGTCATTACAGTTTTCTGAATTATGTTTCTGAAAGAGTAATCTTTCAATATCTAAAGAAATATGACTGAAAAAGATTATATCTTTTGAACTTGATATCTTTTGAATTTTCCACAGAAATTTGCATAAAGAGTCTTATTTTTCATCGCGGAGGCTAATGTGGTGCATGTGGGCTTTAATACAGATTTTAGTCAGAGATTAAACATTTCACTTTTTTGTGTGTTTGCGAGCTTTCAGCGGTTACCACCAACAGCGATCAGCTGATTCAGCGTTAGAACGGCCTTGACCTCCAAAGCTGCGCACACACCCCCTAGACCCGCCCCGATTCTAGCCACTCACAGCCGTGCCGGTCCACGTGGTCTTCCAAATATGGTATTGGCGGCCTGGTTACTGGGATGTCCTGGCCGTGAAGAGAACGAGCTATTGAATCTCCTCTACGCGTCAGCGGCCATCAACAATGCTGTGACCGGCGTAATGACGATCGGATTTCAATGTCAATGCATGTTTGTCACCGACTGGCTTCCGGTGGCCTGCTTAAAAGCCAGGGTCCCCGAGCCAGCTGATCATCCAGCCTCAAACAGCTGATCGAGCAAGTAACATCTACAGAAGCAAGTTTCTCCATCCAGAAAAAACCTGAAGTACAGATTGTAAGTGGCATTTCAATTTCTTATTTCGTTCCTGTTTGTTGGCTTTATAAGTTTTCTGTTTGACTACGTTTAATCGTTTGGAAAGTTACAAATTTATAATTTATATGTAGCTCTGAAAAACACGTAAATGTGTGTCAGCACATGTTAGTCGAATATACGATTTTGGACTTTCAGCTTTATTGTTAATAGCCCTCTTTATCAGTTTTATTTTCAACGGGTTTGAAACTCGAAAATTCTTTGTTTTAAATGTAGCAAGTGAGATGAATATGTCTTCCAAAAAATGTCCGAAATTTTTCTTTTTGTTCAAAGTTTTTTTATGCTTCGTTTTGTAACTACAAATTTTAAAACTACCCGGATAAATATCTAACCGTGTCATTCATATCGCCGTCTTCGCAGACGTAAATGGTGTCGCGCCACGTGGTGACGACGTACTTCGCGGATATTCCGTAATTGAACTTTCTTTTAAAAGCGCACGTGAGATAAAGTATTTTTTCACAGGTCTACATTGTTCTTAAGGTATTTTCTTTCTTTAACCGGGCCACTGCGCATCCATTATCTAGTTAATGGTAACTTGTAGGGGTTTTGTCTTTGGTTAATTAGGAGCGTTGATAACTATTGGACAAAACTACAACGGTAATTATGGGTACATAGTGGTTGTTGAACGACTTTAATTAAAACGTGCCTTAAGTGCCAGTAGGTCCGACCTTTGTCCCATCGTAACGCTTGAATAACTCCAACTTTTAGCGTTATTACGTACCAATCTGTGCTTATATCTACAATGCTCGTTATTTGAGAGGGGGACTGGGTTGTTTCATACGGGTACTTGACCGAGGACAACAGCTGGTGACATGTGTACTTACTTTTATTAACTTCAGATGAATCTGGACATGCTTAGGGAACCGGTATATTGGGTACTATTTGAACGTAACCATTGTAGCTAATGGAAACACTACCAATTAAATACTTATAGATACTTGTATGTTGCCACTTAAAGGGAGAGTCAGTACAGAAAAAAGGCAGGGGGGGGGGGGGGATTTGTGTCGTTATTGGAGTGTATTGTTCTATGTGATTGTGTGACAAGAGAACATTGTTTAAATGTGTTTAAGTGGCATTTAGAAGTTGGTGTGATGGAAGAACGAGGAGAGTTCTATGGATGTACACCTTCTTAATATAAATATTAGCGACGTTTCGGTGTAGCTTGATAACGGTGTTAGTAGCCATCATTTGCTTGATAACGGTGTTAGTAGCTACACCGAAACGTCGCTCATATTATATTAAGAAGTTGTATATCCATAGAACTCTTCTCGTTGTTCGTTGCTTAAATTCCCATTTGCTCCGAACTAGTTCCCTCTTTAAACAATTACTGGAAATCGACATGTCGTTGACTAGAACCCCCTTTAATCGTTTCAGTCTTCTACCCAATCAACGCTGGCACTGCCCTATATAACAGTAAACCACTTTGTATTCGATCAAACTATCATCCTTAACTTACGCTCGTCAAACATAACATTTTATGTCATTGCTAGTTGATACGACGTGGGGACATGCTATATTTACGTTGTTCTTCTATTCCAGATCCGCAATGGAAGTAACAAGACTAGTGTCCGTTTGTCTGTCCGTCCTCGTCCTGTCCCAGGTCTTGCTGGCCAATCCCTACGGGTCACGTGACACCGACACTGCCCTCGGTGAAGATGTTGCCAACCTCGCCCAGGATCTCGTGAGATGTGAGTATTCTTGTGAAAAGAAACACCTCTCAAAAACTACTAGTAGCTAAAAACGCTTTACCACAATGATTGAATAAACTCAGTCTCCATTATCCAAATTACACAGGATGTTTTACACCTTATACTGGAAATAAATCTTGTTAAATGCATGCTCGTTTTTTTTTGTTGTTGAAAGAATGGAAGAGTTACATTTGTCAGAATGACAAAAGGAACCCTTGCCAGTGACATGTAGCTATTCCGATATTATTTTGGCGCTACGACTGTTTTTTGGTTTTCATAACTTAAGTGTGTTTCACATTTAATATAACCAAGTGATTTTAAATGTTTTTTGTTCATTTTCAGTATTTGAGGACGCTCGACGCGAGAGTAGTGAAAGTTCCGATGAGCGTCGTGCCAAGAGATACGTCCACTTCAACATCGGCAGCGACCACCAGTTGCCCCGCCGCAGTTACCGCAATCGCCGCATCCACCATGACCGTCGTCGTGCACGTGGTGGTGTTCAAGTGTCCAGAGTCTAAGCTGTCGCCGTGCAACACCCTCACATAGAAACCTTGATCTACTGTGACGTCATAGTGTGATGGCGTCATAACGTGATGATGTCACAGTGACTCAATGCTGTGATATAGCTGTCTCATCATTTCCGTTCTTCCCTCAAGGAGTGCCCTGTCAGGACATTGTAAGGACTTTGAAAGTCATGGTATAATTCTTATATCAACATGTATGTAGGTGTTTTTGTCGACATACGATTGCCTCAAACGCGGTGGTGTATCATTGATACTGCAATATTGTTTTTGGTTTTAAGATACGTATTGTCTAACTCGGTTATTTTTACAGCACCGTGACAAGGAAGCATGGAGATTTAATAGGGCATATCTGGTGCAATTTCTCCTTTAAATCACAGTCACTAAAATCTGCCACCTGAAAATAGAAATATGTTTCTCTCAAGTGGACAATTGCCAATTGTGATAGTAACTACCTGGCGTAGAATGATAACCATTTATTGTATGTGGATTGTACGAATGGAAAGAAGAACGACTGTGGAATGAATGAGTGAAGAAATGAATGTATGAAGAAAAAAATCTCATTTTGAATCGAGAACGATAGGGTATAATTCTGCGAATTTATCTCGTGTTAATAGCAATGTATGAGTACATATGCTGCTCTATTTATGAGATCTCAAAGATCGCGAGTTCTGTTGCGTGAGTTGACGCGAAAACGCAGAGAATGATCAAAGTTGTTGTATTTGTGTAAGTTATATGTTCGCCCTCTCATACACCACATATGTTAGCGTGTCAAGGGAACTTTACTGTGAATATGTCCGTGAAGTATTGCTTAAGTTAATGTGAATAAATGAATTACACTTAACCCGTTTTGGTTCGTGTTTTTCTTGAGTATTTTAGTCACGTGATGTCATGTCAATATGAACTTGGTCATAATTGGTCTGTACCTGTTACATGATGTGTTTTAGATATAGTGTCACAAATGACTGGCGAGGGCGGTGGGGTGGATGGGGGTATAACGTCGCGTTACTGACAGATGAACGTACACAGAGACGTGTATACCTCTGGCTGTCTGTACCAGCCCGGTGTTACAGCAACAGCCCACTAGCATGTCATGTCAAACCCAATCAGACTCCGACCTACCAGTCCCTGTATCCCGTCTGTATCGAACAGCAGGCAGGGAAACAACAAGTGTCATCTTTTAGGCTCTGGTAGTGGTTCCTGTATGACGTAGCCCTCCGATCTAGGGGCAAACTCATTATCATCTGGACCATAGATCGGTGTAACCATGGTCTGTTGACCAATTCACCACTTAACTACTGTCGGCCTCGGGCTTTTATCCATGTCTTACTTTTCTTAATGGTCGATGGCATTAATCCAACTAACACACTCACTAACTCACCAACTGTCATAGTGCCGACAACATTCACACAGGGAAGATGGTAAAACATTTTACATTATGGGCCAGGTTGTGGTTGGTTGCGGGGGTGGTAGTGATGGGTCTGGTCTTGGTTGTGGTGGTGGTTGATGGGTCTGGTGGTGAGTGGTGATGGGTCTGTGTTGATGGGTCTGTTTGCTTGGTTGTGGGGTGATAGTGATTGTGTGGTTGTGGGGATGGTAACACACTCACTGACTTGTCTCTGGACAACATTCACACAGGGAAGATGGTTGGTTATTATGGGTGGTAGTGATTGTCGGGGGTGGTAGTGATGGGTCTGGTTGTGGTGGTTGTAGGGTTGGTGATAAGTCTGTTTGAGCTTGGTTGTGGGGGTGATAGTGATTGTCTGGTTGTGGGGATGGTAGTGGTGTCTCTGGTTGTGGTTGGTTGAGGGGGTGATAGTGATTGTCTGGTTGTGGGGGTGGTAGTGGTGTCTCTGGTTGTGGTTGGTTGAGGGGTGATAGTGATTGTCTGGTTGTGGGGGTGGTAGTGGTGTCTCTGGTTGTGGTTGGTTGAGGGGGTGATAGTGATTGTCTGGTTGTGGGGATGGTAGTGGTGTCTCTGGTTGTGGTTGGTTGAGGGGGTGGTAGTGATTGTCTGGTTGTGGGGATGGTAGTGGTGGGTCTGGTTGTGGTTGGTTGTGGGGTGATAGTGATTGTCTGGTTGTGGGGATGGTAGTGGTGTCTCTGGTGGTGTGGTTGGTTGGTGAGGGGTGTAGTGGTGACTCTCTGGTTGTGGTTGGTTGTGGGGGTGGTAGTGGTGTCTCTGGTTGTGTAGTTGGTTGAGGGGTGGTAGTGATTGTCTGGTTGTGGGTGGTGGTAGTGGTGTCTCTGGTTGTTGTGGTTGGTTGTGGGGTGGTAGTGATTGTCTGGTTGTGGGGATGGTAGTGTGTGTCTCTGGTTGTGGTTGGTTGAGGGGGTGGTAGTGATGGGTCTGGTTGTGGTTGGTTTGTGGTGGTGGTAGTGTGGTTGTCTGGTTGTAGGGATGGTAGTGGTGGTGTCTCTGGTTGTGGTTGGTTGTGGGGTGGTGGTAGTGATTGTCTGGTTGTGGGGATGGTAGTGTGGTGATGGTTTGTGTTGGTTGTAGGGGTGGTAGTGATTGTCTGGTTGTGGGGTGGTAGTGATGGGTGTGGTTGTGAGGGGGGTGGTAGTGATGGGTGTGGTTGTGGGGATGGTAGTGATGGGTGTGGTTGTGGGGGTGGTAGTGATGGGTCTGGTTGTGGGGGTGGTAGTGATGGTTCTGGTTGTGGGGGTGAAAGTGATGGGTGTGGTTGTGGTTGGTAGTCGGTGTAGTAGTGATGGGTTTGGTTGTGATGGGTTGTGGGGGTGGTAGTGAAGGGTTGGGGTGGTAGTGATGGGTTTGGTTGTGTGGTTGGTAGTGTAGGAAGTGGTAGTGATAAGGTGTGGTTGTGGGTGTTGGTTGTGGGGGTTGGTAGTGATAGGGTGTGGTGGGTGTGGTTGTGGGGGGTGGTAGTGATGGGTCTGGTTGTGGGGTGGTAGTGATGGGTCTGGTTGTGGGTTGGTAGTGATGGGTCTGGTTGTGGGGGTTGTGGTGTAGTGATGGGTGTGGTTGTGGGGGTTGGTAGTGATGGGTGTGGTTGTGGGGTTGGTAGTGATGGGTCTGGTGATGGGTTTGGTAGTGATGGGTGTGGTTGTGGGGTGTGGTAGTGAAGGGTTGGGGTGGTAGTTGTGGGGGTGAGTGAGTGTAGTGATGGGTGTGGTTGTGGGGTGTGGTAGTGATGGGGTTGTGGTTGTAGGGGGTGGTAGTGATTGGTCTGGTTGTGGGGGGGTGAAGGTAGTGATGTCTGTGGTTGTGGTTGTGGTTGTGGGATGGTAGTGATGTAGAGTCTGGTTGTGGGGATGGTAGTATGTGGTTGTGGTTGTGGTGGTTGGTTGTAGGGGTGATAGTGATGATGGGTCTGGTTGTGGGGGGGTGGTAGTGATGGGTCTGGTTGTGTGGGGTGGTAGTGATGGGTGTGGTTGTAGGGGTGGTAGTGATGGGTCTATGTTTGTGGTTGGTTGAGGGGTGGTAGTGATAGGTCTGGTTGTGGGGATGGTAGTGGTGGGTGTGGTTGTGGGGTTGTGGTAGTGATAGTGTCTGGTTGTGGGGTGGTAGTAGTGATAGGTGTGGTTGTAGGTTGGTAGTGATGGGGTAGTTGTGTTGATTGTTGGTTGTGGGGTGGTAGTGGTGGGGTCTGGTTGTGAAGTTGGTTGAGGGGTGATAGTGATAGGTCTTGGTTGTGGGGATGGTAGTGATGGGTGTGGTTTGGTGGTAGTGGGTAGTAGTGATAGTGATTGTCTGGTTGTAGGGGTGGTAGTGATAGGTCTAGTTGTGGTTGGTTGTAGGGGTGGTAGTAGTGATAGGTCTGGTTGTAGGCTGTGGTAGTGATAGGTGAGTGGTTGTAGTTGGATTAGTGGTAGTAGTGATCTGGTGTGGTTGTGGTGGTGAAGTAGTGATAGGTGTGGTTGTAGGGGTAGTAGTGATAGGATTAGTGTTAGTTGTAGGGGTGGTAGTGATAGGTGTGGTTGTATTTGGTAGAAGGTGTAGTAGTGATAGGTGTGGTTGTGTGGGTTGGTTGTAGGTAGTAGTGATAGGGTTTGGTTGTGATAAGGTTGTTGTGAGTGGTAGTGATAGGTGTGGGTTAGGTTGTGAGTAGTGATAGTGTGTGGTTGGTTGTAGGGGTGGTAGTGAGTGATAGTTGTGATTGTGGTTGGTTGTAGGGGTGATGGTAGTGATGTCTCTAGTTTGTAGTTGGTTGAGAAGTGGTAGTGATTGTCTGTTGTTGTGGGGATAGTAGTAGTGATGGTTGTGGTTGATTGTTGTGGGGTGGTAGTGATTGTCTAGTTGTGGGGATGGTAGTGATGAAGGTCTGGTTGTAGTTGGTTGTGGGAGGTAGTAGTGATAGGTCTGGTTGTGGGGATGGTAGTGATAGGTCTGGTTGTATGGGGTTGTGAAAGTAGTAGTGATGGGTTGGTTGTGGTTGGTAGTAGAGTGTAGTAGTGATAAGGTTTAGTTGTGATGGGTTGTTAGTAGTGATAGGTAGTGTCTGAAGGGTTGTAGGAATTAGTAGTGATAAGGTTTAGTTTGATTAGTAGTGTAGGAGGTGTAGTTGTGGACAAGTAGTAGTGATGGGTGTAGTTGTGGGGTTAGTAGTGATAGGTCTAGTTGTGATTGTTGGTTGTAGAGTGGTAGTAGTAAGTGTTAGGTGTGGTTGTGGGGTGGTAGTGATGGGTGTGGTTGTATTGATAGTTGTAGTAGTGATAGGTCTGGTTGTGGTTGTGGTAGTGATAGTGAGTGGGTCTGGTTGTGGGGGTGAAAGTGATAGGTGTAGTTGTGTGATTAGTGGTAGTCAGTGGTAGTGATGATGGATGGGATAGTTTGTGATGGGTGTAGTTTGTGAGTGATGGTTTGGTTGTGGAGGTAGTAGTGATAGGTCTGGTTGTGGGATTGATAGTGATGGGTGTGGTTGTGGGGTGAGGTAGTGATTGGTCTAGTTGTAGGGGTGGTAGTGATAAGGTCTGGTTGTGATTGGTAGTTGTTGGGGTGGTAGTGATGGGTCTGGTTGTAGTTGATGGTAGTAGGTAGTAGTGAGGTCTGGTTGTGATGGTTGGTTGTAGGGGTGGTAGTGATGGGTCTGGTTGTAGGGATTGTAGTGATGGGTGTTGTAGGGGATAGTAGTGAAGGGTGTAGTTGTGGGGGTGGTAGTGATGGGTTTGGTTGTGGGGTGTGGTAGTGATAGGTCTGGTTGTGGTTGGTAGTAGTTGTAGTTGTAGTAGTGATGGGTTTTGGTTGTGATGGGTTGTGGGTCTGGTTGTAGTGAAGGGTTAGGGTAGTAGTGATGGGTCTGGTTGTGGGGATGGTAGTGATAGGTGTGGTTGTGGGGGTCTGGTTGTGATTGATGGTTGTGAAAGGGGTGATAGGTAATGAGGGTCTAGTTGTGATTGATAGTTGTAGTTTGGTTAGTTGTGGTCTGGTTGTGATGGAGTCTAGTTTGTAGGGATAGTTGTAGTAGTAGGTATGGTTTTGTGGTTAGTTGTGGGGGAAGTAGTAGTGATAGGTCTGGTTGTGAGGGATAGTAGTAGTAGTGATGGGTATGTGGTTGGTTGTAGGGGATTGTGGTAGTGATAGGTGTAGTTTGATTGATAGTTGTAGTGAAGTGTAGTGATAGGTCTGGTTGTGGGGGTGGTAGTGATGGGTGATGGTGGTTGTGATTGATAGTTGTAGGGTGAGTAGTGATGGGTCTGGTTGTGATGGATGGTGGGGGTGATAGTGATGGGTCTGGTTGTGAGTAGTAGTGATGGGTCTGGATGTGGTCTGTTGGTTGTTGTGGGGTGATAGTGATGGGTCTGGTTGTGATTGATGGTTGTGGGGTGTAGTAGTGATGGGTCTGGTTGTGATTGATGGTTGTGGGGGTGGTAGTGATGGGTCTGGTTGTGATTGATGGTTGTGGGGGTGGTAGTGATGGGTCTGGTTGTGATTGATGGTTTTGTGGGGGTGGTAGTGATGGGTCTGGTTGTGATTGATGGTTTAGGGGTGATAGTGATAGGTGTGATAGTGATGGGTCTGGTTGTGATTGATGGTTGTAGGGGGTGATAGTGATGGGTCTGGTTGTGATTGATGGTTGTAGGGGTGGTAGTGATGGGTCTGGTTGTGATTGATGGTTGTAGGGGTGATAGTGATGGGTCTGGTTGTGATTGATGGTTGTAGGGGGTGGTAGTGATGGGTCTGGTTGTGATTGATGGTTGTGGGGGTGATAGTGATGGGTCTGGTTGTGATTGATGGTTGTAGGGGTGGTAGTGATAGGTCTGGTTGTCTGGTTTGTGATTGATGTGATTGATGGTTGTGGGGTGATAGTGATGGGTCTGGTTGTGATTGATGGTTGTAGGGGTGGTAGTGATGGGTCTGGTTGTGATTGATGGTTGTAGGGGTGATAGTGATGGGTCTGGTTGTGATTGATGGTTGTAGGGGTGGTAGTGATGGGTCTGGTTGATTGTGATTGATGGTTGTCTGGGGTGATAGTGATGGGTCTGGTTGTGATTGATGGTTGTAGGGGTGGTAGTGATGGGTCTGGTTGTGATTGATGGTTGTAGGGGAGTGGTAGTGATGGGTCTGGTTGTGATTGATATGGTTGTAGGGATTGTAGTAGTGATGGGTCTGGTTGTGATTGATGGTTGTAGGGGTGATAGTGATGGGTCTGGTTGTGATTGATGGTTTGTAGGGGTGAGTAGTGATGGGTCTGGTTGTGATTGATGGTTGTAGGGGTGAGTAGTGATGGGTCTGGTTGTGATTGATGGTTGTAGGGGTGATAGTGATGGGTCTGGTTGTGATTGATGGTTGTAGGGGTGGTAGTGATGGGTCTGGTTGTGATTGATAGTTGTAGGGGTGATAGTGATGGGTCTAGTGGCAGTGGAGGGACTGAGTGGTAAACGTGATAGTAGTGTGATATTGGTAGTTATGTTGTATAATGATAGGTCTAGCATTGGCAGGATTAATAGTTGGGAAGCTGAAAGAGGTAATGTATATAGTAGTGAAAGTCAGGTAGTGTTGGTGCTGGTTGTGCGGGATTAAAAGTTGGGAAGCTGAAAGAGGTAATGTATATAGTACTGAAAGTCAGGTAGTGGTGGTGCTGGTTGTGCGGGATTAAAAGTTGGGAAGCTGAAAGAGGTAATGTATATAGTAGTGAAAGTCAGGTAGTGGTGGTGCTGGTTGTGTTACGGTCGGTAACTGAAGTGGATGTAACGCAGGTCTCAGATCTTAACCCTTGATCATGTTTTCTAGGCGTGTCCAGCAGATGAAGCTCACACCTGTCTGATGTATATTTGTCGCACCCTTAACCGTATTCGCATTCTTGATACGTAAAATGAATTTACATTTACACTTGTCCACAATTATTTCGACACGTATTCAAATTCGTAACTAAATAGTGGTATGTGAACGTTTGCTCAGTTGAAAGGACCACTCATGCCCTGAGTTACTTACCATTGTCAGTGACAGCAATCCTTGTTGTAGGGCATGTCCTTGACCGACATGATGGCCTTGAACTTGAATACATTGACATTGACTTTCTACAGTACCCTAACCCAAATAAACAAACGAGCTCAAACATGGGAAACGTGAAATTGTTCCTGTATGACATAGTCCTCGGATCTAGGGGCAAACTCATTATAATCTGGACCATGGATCGGTGTAACCATGGTCTGTTGACCAATTCTCCACTTAACTACTGTCGGCCTCGGGCTTTTATCCAAGTCTTACTTTTCTTAATGGTCGATGGCATTAATCCAACTAACACACTCACTAACTCACCAACTGTCACAGTGCCGACAACATTCACACAGGGAAGATGGTAAAACATTATACATTAGGGGTCTGGTTGTGGTTGGTTGTAAGGGTGGTAGTGATGGGTCTGTTTGTGCTTGGTTGTGATGGTGGTAGTGATGGGTCTGTTTGTGGTTGGTTGTGGGGGTGGTAGTGATGGGTCTGTTTGTGGTTGGTTGTGGGGGTGGTAGAGATGGGTCTGTTTGTGGTTGGTTGTGGGGGTGGTAGAGATGGGTCTGTTTGTGGTTGGTTGTGGGGGTGGTAGAGATGGGTCTGGTTGTGGTTCGTTGTGGTGGTGGTAGTGATTGTCTGGTTGTGGTGGTGAGTGGTGGTAGTGATGGGTCTGTATGTGGATGTTTGTGCTGGTGGTAGTAATGGGTCATTATATGTGGTTGGTTGTGGTGGTGGTAGTGATGGGTCTGGTTGTGGTTGGTTGTATGGTGGGTAGTGATTGTCTGGTTGTGGGGGTGGTAGAGATGGGTCTGTTTGTGGTTGGTTGTGGGGGTGGTAGAGATGGGTCTGTTTGTGGTTGGTTGTGGGGGTGTAGTAGAGATGGGTCTGTTTGTGGTTGGTTATGGGGGTGAGTAGGAGATGGGTCTGTTTGTGGTTGGTTGAGGGTGGTGGTAGAGATGGGTCTGTTTGTGGTTGGTTGTGGGGTGATAGAGATGGCAGGTCTGTTTGTGGTTGGTTGAGGGATGGTAGTAGTGATTGTCTAGTTGTAGGGATGGTAGTGTGTCTCTAGTTGTGGTTGGTTGAGGGGGTGGTAGTGATTGTCTGGTTGTGGGGGGTTGGTAGTGATGTGTCTCTGGCTGTGGTTGGTTGAGTGGGTGGATGTGTCTAGATGTGGGGATAGTACTGATGGGTCTGTATATGTGGTTGGTTGTAGTGGTGGTGGTAGTGATGGGTCTAGTTGTGGTTGGTTGTGATGGTGGTAGTGATGGGTCTGGTTGTGGTTGGTTGTGGTGGTGGTAGTGATGGGTCAGTATGTGGTTGGTTGTGCTGGTGGTAGTGATTGTCTGGTTGTGGTGTTGGTGGAAGTGATGGGTCTGTATGTGGTTGGTTTTAGTGGAGGTAGTGATGAGTCTGGTTGTGGTTGGTTGTAGGGGGTGGGAGTGATTGTCTGGTTGTGGGGGTGGTAGTGATGGCTCTGGTTGTGGTTGGTTGTGGTGGTGGATTTGTGATTGGTGTGGTTTTTTGGTTGGTTGTGGTGGTGGTAGTGATGGGTCTGGTTGTGATGGGTTGTGGTGGTGGTAGTGATGGGTTGTGGTGGTGGTAGTGATGGGTCTGGATTTGTGATTGGATTTGTGGGGTTGGTAGTGAAAGATCTGCTGGGGGTGGTTGGTAGTCAGTTATGTGCCCGTGATGATGGGTCTGGTTGTGATGGGTTGTGGGATGGTAGTGATGGGTCTGGTTGTGTGATGGGTAGTGATGGAGTCTGATTGTGGTGGGTTGTGATGGTGGTCGTGATGGACCTGGTTGTGGTTGGATGTGGTTGGTGGTACTGATGGGACTGGTTTGTGCTTGGTTGTGGGGGTCCTGGTAGTTATGGGTTTTGATTGATGTGGTTGGTTGTGAGGTGGTACTGATGGGACTGGTTGTGCTTGGTTGTGTGGGGGTTGGTAGTTATGGGTTTTGATGTGGTTGGTTGTGGGGTGGTACTGATGGGACTGGTTGTGCTTGGTTGTGGGGGTTGGTAGTTATGGGTTTTGATGTGGTTGGTTGTGGGGTGGTACTGATGGGACTGGTTGTGGTTGGTTGTAGCAATGGTAGTGATGGGTCTGGTTGTGCTGGGTTGCGAGGGGGTGGTAGTAGTGATGGTATTGTAGGGTATGTCCTTGACCGACATGATACCTGGCCTTGAACTTGAATACATTGACATTGACTTTCTACAGTACCCTAACCCAAATAAACAAACGATCTTAAAATGGGAAACGTGATTCTTCAAGCTGTGATTTTATTAAACACCCTGAACATTTCAACGCATATTTAAACGATGCATGATTACTGATACTGACATCTGAATTTATTGTTTGGAGTTACCCTGTACATTCACATATATTCAGTAACAATAATCATAGTTTATTGTTTGGAGTTACCCTGTACATTCACATATATTCAGTAACAATAATCATAGTTTATTGTTTGGAGTTACCCTATACATTCACATATATTCAGTAACAATAATCATAGTTTATTGTTTGGAGTTACCCTATACATTCACATATATTCAGTAACAATAATCATAGTTTATTGTTTGGAGTTACCCTATACATTCACATATATTCAGTAACAATAATCATAGTTTATTGTTTGGAGTTAATCCTAATACATTCACATATATTCAGTAACAATAATCATAGTTTATTGTTTGGAGTTACCCTGTACATTCACATATATTCAGTAACAATAATCATAGTTTATTGTTTGGAGTTACCCTGTACATTCACATATATTCAGTAACAATAATCATAGTTTATTGTTTGTTACCCTATGGACATATATTTAACAATACCCTGTACATTCACATATATTCAGTAACAATAATCATAGTTTATTGTTTGGAGTTACCCTATACATTCACATATATTCAGTAACAATAGTCATAGTTTATTGTTTGGAGTTACCCTATACATTCACATATATTCAGTAACAATAATCATAGTTTATTGTTTGGAGTTACCCTATACATTCACATATATTCAGTAACAATAGTCATAGTTTATTGTTTGGAGTTACCCTATACATTCACATATATTCAGTAACAATAATCATAGTTTATTGTTTGGAGTTACCCTATACATTCACATATATTCAGTAACAATAATCATAGTTTATTGTTTGGAGTTACCCTATACATTCACATATATTCAGTAACAATAATCATAGTTTATTGTTTGGAGTTACCCTATACATTCACATATATTCAGTAACAATAATCATAGTTTATTGTTTGGAGTTACCCTATACATTCACATATATTCAGTAACAATAGTCATAGTTTATTGTTTGGAGTTACCCTGTACATTCACATATATTCAGTAACAATAATCATAGTTTATTGTTTGGAGTTACCCTATACATTCACATATATTCAGTAACAATAATCATAGTTTATTGTTTGGAGTTACCCTATACATTCACATATATTCAGTAACAATAATCATAGTTTATTGTTTGGAGTTACCCTATACATTCACATATATTCAGTAACAATAATCATAGTTTATTGTTTGGAGTTACCCTATACATTCACATATATTCAGTAACAATAATCATAGTTTATTGTTTGGAGTTTGTGCTGGTGGTGGTGATTGTTCAGTTGTGGTGGTGGTAGTGATGGGTCTGTATGTGGTTGGTTTTGGAGGTGGTAGTGATGAGTCTGGTTGTGGTTGGTTGTGGGGGTGGTAGTGATTGTCTGGTTGTGGGGGTGGTAGTGATGGGGCTGGTTGTGGTTGGTTGTGGTTGGTTGTGGTGGTGGTTTTGATTGGTCTGGCTGTGGTTGGTTGTGGTGGTGGTAGTGATGGGTCTGTATGTTGTTGGTTGTGGTGGTGGTAGTGATTGTCTGGTTGTGGTGGTGGTAGTGATGGGTCAGTATGTGGATGGTTGTGGTGGTGGTAGTGATGGGTCTGGTTGTGGTTGGTTGTGGGGGTGGTAGTGTATTGTTTGGAGTTACCCTGTACATTCACATATATTCAGTAACAATAATCATAGTTTATTGTTTGGAGTTACCCTATACATTCACATATATTCAGTAACAATAATTTTAGTTTATTGTTTGGAGTTACCCTATACATTCACATATATTCAGTAACAATGATTATAGTTTATTGTTTGGAGTTACCCTATACATTGACATATATTCAGTAACAATAATCATAGTTTATTGTTTGGAGTTACCCTATACTTCACATATATTCAGTAACAATAATCATAGTTTATTGTTTGGAGTTACCCTGTACATTCACATGTATTCAGTAACAATAATCATAGTTTATTTTTTGGAGTTACCCTATACTTCACATATATTCAGTAACAATAATCATAGTTTATTGTTTGGAGTTACCCTGTACATTCACATGTATTCAGTAACAATAATCATAGTTTATTGTTTGGAGTTACCCTATACATTCACATATATTCAGTAACAATAATTATAGTTTATTGTTTGGAGTGACCCTATACATTCACATATATTCAGTAACAATAATCACAGTTTATTGTTTGGAGTTACCCTGTACATTCACATGTATTCAGTTACAATAATCATAGTTTATTGTTTGGAGTTACCCTATACATTCACATATATTCAGTAACAATAATCATAGTTTATTGTTTGGAGTTACCCTGTACATTCACATATATTCAGTAACAATAATCATATTTTATTGTCATGCTGAAGCCGATATTTTGCATTGCGACCCACGTTTCAACAGCTTCCTCGAAAAGATGAGTTGCGTTGATGGTGGAAGCTCGGTGACGGCCTTGGCACAATGAGGTCTGGCATTGTCATCTTGCAGTTCACCACTTTCTTCTCACAGTACCAGTGAATGGAGCAGCGTAAGGATTCAAATTATCATGACCATATGGCTTGCCAGTGAGTTAGACAAAGGAAAGGCATGGAAGCCAATGATGTACGAGTAATAAGATGTTTATACGGTAGAGTTTATACAGTAGATTGGGCTTGGTGGATGAGTGCATCATAAGCGGATGGAATGAAGTATCCTTGGTCTCGGTTGACGGTGGGCTTTTGGCGTTTGATGTGCATGGCTTCGGTGAGCGTGCGTTTAGTGAAGTCTGTTTGATTGTTAGCGAGAATGGTGATGTCAGACCACTCTATTTGATGATTGTGGCTTGCTTTGATGTGGTCAGAGATGGCTTTTGGTGGGAGGTGACAGGGTTGCAGCAATGGTTCTGTTGACTATTTGGGACGGATAGTGGTTAAGTTGTACAAACACTTTCTTCAGGTGTTCTATTTCATCTTGTAGTTTAGTTGAGCAAAAACAAAAAAAACCAACCCCCCCCCAAAAAAAACCAAAAAACCCCAACAAAAACAAAACAAAACGAACTTACATTCCAACACCGCCGACTCGAACCTAGAACACACCGCCTCGTCATATAAAATGCTAATCGTGTAATCAGTCGCTGCCACAAGTCCAAAGAAGGAGAGAAATTGTAATAAGAATTAGGTAGCTACGTGAAACACATAAAACAATGATGCCCTAAGTGGCGACTAACGGATACTGTGGCCAGGCTCGCTTTCTTGGTTGACACAACTGTATCCCAGTTGCGTAGATCCATGCTCAAGCTGTTGATCACTGGATTGTCAGGTCCCGACTCTATTATTTACAGACCGCCCTCATAGAGATTTTACAGACACTTCACGGCGTATTGCGCGGCATTTGCGACACAAAGCGAACGTGGTAGCAAGGAAAGGATTTTACAGCCGCCCCAAGCTGTTAGGCTTCAGGTGAGGTGAGGTGAAATTTGGTTTTACGTCGTGCTTGAGAATATTTCGCTCATATGACGACGTGCATGCGTGTGTGTGTGTATGTGCGCCTGCTTGTACTAGCCCAGACTTAAGCTGGTTTTATAGTGCTAGCCCACTGAGATACCATGCCGCAGTGAAGCATGAATACCCCACTCAGACACATTATACTGACTCCGAGCCGACCAGTCCTTGTTGTACCCATTAATGCCGAGCGCCAGGTAGGGACCAACAAGTACCATATTTTAACTTCTTTTGGTATGACGCGGTCGGGGATCGAACCCGCGACCTTCCGCTCTCCGGGCGGACGCTCTAACCACTACACCACGGAGGCGGTCGCTTCAGTACCTGATCACCGAATCAAATATGAGATGGCTCTGAGTTAGACTGACTGACTGAATTTGGATTTACGCCGCTTTTAGCAATATTCCAGCAACATCACGGCGTGGGACACCAGAAATGGGCTTCACACACTGTGCCCATGTGGGGATTCGAACCCAGGTCTTCGGCGTGACGAGCCAACGCTTTAACCATTAGGCTATCCCACCGCCCCCCTCTGAGTATGAGCAATGGCCCACGTCGTCACAGTACGATGACACGCTCTCAGCTAAGTCATTGAGTGTGACCACCAGTGTCATTCGCCTCGTAGAGGAGAGGGGCGGTGGGGTAGCCTAGTGGTTAAAGCGTTGGATCGTCACGCCGAAGACCCGGGTTCGAATATCCACATGGGTACAATGTGTGAAGGCCCATTTCTGGTGTCTCCCGCCGTGATGTTGCTGGAATATTGCTAAAAGCGGCGTAAAACCAAAACTCAGTCAGTCAGTCAGTCGTAGAGGAGAGACGGTCGACTTCACATAGTTTACGTATATGGGTTCAAGGTCCAGTCTTAAAAAATCTGTCCCACAGTCCCAGAACCACAGTATTTTCCTTCCCGATCAGACCTCTCTCAAACTCTACAGACCTTAATGAATACCCCACATCACTGGGGCTCCTGTTCAATTTCAGTGGAATTATTTGTTTCCATCAAAGTTTTTTACATATATTTACAGACTAAGGGAGCTGTAGGGTAGCCTAGTTGTTAAAGCGTTCGCTCGTCACACCGAAGACCCCGGGTTCGATTCCCCATATGGGTACACTGAGTGAACCCCACTTCCGGTGTTCCCCGACGCGATATTGCTGGAATATTGCCAAAATCGGCATAAATATATGCTCACTCACTCACTTAGAGACGCATCAGTATATCCAGCTCACTGAACACTCTCAAGAATGTTGCATAGCCGAGATACATGTATGCAAATTAGAGCCAACTTTCATGTAAGAATTTGTCCCTAGCTCAACATCGCTGGTCACAGGATCTGATT